TAATAATATACAAAGATAAAATGCCAGCTTTTACATTTTAATATGGATCTTTATAGTCTAGCATTCCTAAACACATCTGAGAATTTAAAATGTTTATATTGTTTAAAATTAAAAGCAGTTTTATGGGCAGGAAAATTATATTTCACTCAAGACTAAATTATACTTATGAAAGCAAGCCTTTAGGATTTTCTATATTTTATTCACATACACAGAAAAATTATATTGTTATAGTTTAGCAACTCTATTTTGCAAAGTTTCATTAAACTACATGGCTAATATTTTACTAGGGTAGAATTATTAACTAAATATTTAGTAACACTGTTGTATAAGTTCATTTTATTACATCACATTATCATTTAAAGAAAACAAAAATTGTATTAGCTAACCACTGTCTTTGTTCAACTAAAATTATAAAGATCAAGTAAAACAAATGTTAGAAAATGAAGCTATGATAAAGCATTTTGGAAATTAATAGTCACTAAAATTTTAGGCATTTTATAATTTTATCATTGGATAGCCTACAACTTTTGCTATTAACAATGTAAATACTTTACTCAGAGTATCTATGAGTAGATACTAGTTTCTGCTTAAGAAAGTAAGTTTTTCAGTTTCAACCAAATTGCCACTTTTGGTTAGGACAGTACTTGGAATACTTTAAATTTTCTTAAGATATTTTCATTAATCTTATCTAATTCTACCTACTTCTCTACTTGTAGAACAGCCAAATACCAAATTCCACTTGATTTAAACCCTCCATTTTGTAAGATAAAAAGTCCACTACATAATTAAATACCTTACATAGCACACTGTAGTTAACACCCTTGGGTGGGGGGAACGGGACACCAAACTCTGGTCAATTCACACGATTTGTTTATATCTTTACTTACTGATTTTTAGTTCACCTAAAAGCATCAGCTTTCTAACTGTAAAGTTCAGTTATATTGCAAAGCTATACAATGATAGGATTTGGAAATTTATTAGTATAAAGCAGACATGGTGGCACACATTTGTAATCCCAGCTTCACAGAGGCGGCTAAGGAAGAAAAATCAGTAGTTCCAGGCCAGTCTAGGCCACATAGCAATTTCCAGGCTGGGATGTATAGTGAGATCCTAACTTAAAAAAGAAAAAAAAAAACAAAACCCATTAGTTATTAGTATACCTTAATCTCCTATCATGTTCCAATGCATTATGTAAGTATTCAATCAAAGAAGTTAGGCTGTTTTCCAGAATTGGCTCTCTTCTAAAGGTCAAAACCTGCAATAAAAACGTCATGTATTATAGCATGAAGACTCTTAACAAACTTCTGTCTCCTCTACTTCCAGTTGGTCTCTGAACAGATTAAGTCTTGAAAATAATCCCAATCTAGCCAATGCTCAAAGAACCTCGAATGTGAAAACGTTTTAAAAATAGAAATAACTTGATTAAGAACACCTGTGATATGCCTTATCCTCTAAAGCCTCTTTAAAAAAATCAATTACTAGTTTTCTGCTTTCATTTCTCCTGAGGACACTCATTTGCAAAAGAAGCAGAGGTGAGTATGCATATGGAGGTGACTATGGAAGAAGTGGCAGACAGACTTTAAGACAAATTATCAAGAACATACTTCGTACTTCTAAAATTCACACCGCTTAAAAAATTCTGCAAAGGATAGGGACAGAATTTGACTACCTTGTCCCTAAAAGTACTAAATGGATTAATGAAATTACCATTATTTTCAACTTTAGTTTTTGCTAAATTTGAGTAAACATCAACATTTCCAAATATTTTATTAGTTCTAACAAAATTTAGATTTTTAAAAAATAAATGAAACTATTTACAAGTAATAAATGAACTACTACTAGACAAGCTTTTTAATGCTTCCAAACAGAGGTAAAATATAACTTCATTTGTTTCACAATCAACTATATAAAAATATCAAATTATTAAATTATCAGAGGTATAAATGTACTACATATGAACCATAATGCTCTGAGGAAGTTTTCGACTTTTATGTAAGAATGGCTTAAGTGAGAAATAAAGAATAAAAACCAAAAGCCCTTTTATTCCTCTGCAGCTAAGTTGTTTAATGACAAAAAACACACACTTGCATATCTTATAAACACCAGTTCAAATATCCTAGTTTCA